ATGTCTATAATTTATAATTCTGGGTCTTACAGAGAAAATTATGACTCAGAGTGCTATTGCTGTGGGCACAGAAACATCTCTGTAGTGGGAATATCTTTTGTCAGTATTTTAACATACTCAGGCTGTAACGAAGAGTGCATGATGTCATTGTTGCTTTTTACTGAAGACTTGGAGTCAAATATCTAGTGAAATCTAATGGGGTGGTTGTTTTTTCCTCAGATAAACAGTAAATTGTTTTTAGTGAGAACTGATCACACTGATTTCACTGTGTGTCTTTACCGTGGCGCTCACAGTGCTCTGTTATCTGCAAGAAAAGGTCCTGTTCCTGGGGTGGGGGGGGGCTAAGGTTAATGACTTGCAGGTGTTTAGTGTCTTTTAGACTTGGCCTGCCACTAATATCATAGATAATAGATTTGTTCTCTAAATAACATTGCCTGGATATTTTTTTTAACTTCATGTTGGGTACTGTCTTTAATATTCACAGGAACGAGTCATACTGGTTACTTTGGTACTTTCAGATAACTGTGCTCCCTGGTGTGCTTCCAGATCATAGTCATTTAATGTTCCCAGTGCATGTGTAGTAGCTCACTCATGAGCTTTCATTTGAAGTGAATGAACTATTTTGACTGACATGAAGCTTGGGAACTACACTGGAAACAGTTTTGTCTGGAGACCTTTCTGCTCTACATAGTACTCTAGCACTACCACAGCAAACTTTGTACCCTCACATCTTTCCATGCTCCTTTTTGCCACTTCACACAGGGTATCTAAAGATGGTTATGTCATCATGCTATAAAAACACCCCTCTTCAGACCCGAATTTTATGTTCTTTCAGGATTTTCAACTAAGCCACTCCCACCTCCCCAATTATTTTCTTAGCAGCACCATGGAAGACCAAGGTTAAATGCTGCATGACATGAATGTGATAGGTCTACTCCAAAGGAAGCTAGAAACCCCGAGTGCTGCAGGGCTAAGCTATGGCACCCATGGACCAGGGGTTAATCTCTGGTGCAGATGTCCACTGATGGCAAGCTGAAGATAGACATTGGGGTACTTGTGACCATGAGATGGCAAATTTTTCGCCCTGCCTAATGAGCATGACCAGTTAGTTTGAACTGCAGTCCCTATTCCATTTTCATATTTCTCCCTTGCATTCATTCTGCATACATTCTGATGGGGCATCTTTCTCCTAAAGGGTGCCATCCTATATAGATTAACTTCTAGGTGTCTCATGAGAAGCCAGATGCAGTTTTTCAGTGCTTGCGGTGTGGGTTCTGCTGTAAGCACACTGGGAGACAGAGAAATTGCCAAACTCTCCATCCTGCAGTTTGGAAGTGTCCGTTAACAACCAGCATGTACACAAATAGCTGCCACATATTCATGGGCTGTGTTTTGAGGAATAGAGAGGTGTGGCAGAAAGACTGAGACAGGTTCCACTGCCAAAATAATCAAGGGAAGTGGATAGTTTCCAAGGTGTTAATTCCCTAAATTGTTTTCCTTTTTTTTCTTCTGGCTTCAGTGGAGCCAGAGATCTTCCAAGAAATTGGAGTGCCTCTATTTTGACTTAATTCCTTTTGGTGTGGTGTAGTGGGGAAGTGTTACAAGTAAAGCTGCAGTGTAGGAAAACACAGAAGATCCCTTTTTATTTATCTTAACCTTATATCCCAAATTGAAAAGTGGTTAACACAGAATCAAAGATGAAATGCCAAAGAGGGGCTTATACCATGTAGGAAATGGAAATGCATTTGTTTAGAGGAAAAAATCCACAATTCACTGGTGCTTTTTGGATGTGAAAATGACAACTAAGTGGTTTGGAGTATGTCTAAGTGTTTGTTGCTGTACTATTACCTGAACAGTTGAGTTGAACCTTTGAACATTGATTTTGTGTTGGCATGTAGGACAAAAATTCATATTTGAGTTTTTCTCTGTTGCTCATGACACACCACTTTGTGGTAGATTTCATCTGTGATTTAAATATTGTCAGAAGAACCCCATCCTTTAACTCTAGCTTGTTTGTAAGACGTGGATCCAAGAATTACTGAAGATGACTGGCTGGACAATGCTGTTGGAGATGTGAGGATTTTTGGACCTAGTTCTGATTTTACTGTAGACATTAGCACTTCTTATTTCTGGATATTGTTAAATGGGAGGAGGAGGAGAGTTTCAGGTATAGTTAAAACTACAAAGACAAGTGAAATTACCAAACTGGTGCTGGGCTGATGAAATACTGTAGGAAGGAACTGTTTTGTATCTTGTCTCTTACAACAGCGTCATGAAAACGACGATAGGATATAATGTTCCCACGCAAACATGACTTGCTTTTTCTCTAGATCTGTTGCTTAACTAAGGCTTTGTTTGTTCCAGTTTCCGTGGCCTTTGGCAGAGTGGGGCAACGACCTCCATTTTCCGTTTGTCATATAATATAAAATGAGAATATTGGCATTTGATGGTAGGCTATTTGCTGATAAAATATATTGGCCTCAGTAAAAACACTTCTGTAATTTGGCAGTCAGTCCTTTCCCACTAACTGCAGATTGATACATACTAAGTAACTTGTTTGTCTGAAACATCAAGAAAGCACAGTAATCCGGCTTCAGCCAATTCCGTAACGCAGAGTTGGACTTCCATGGTGCGACTTTATGGATTAAGCAAAGCCAAGACAGCTTTCAGAGTGAAGTGGTTTTTTCTTGTGATGGTATTCAGCCACTACATCGCTCTTTCTTTTATCTCCATTGACAGATGTTAATAGAGCAAAAGACAATGTGGTAGCTGGTGCAGTGCAGTAATGTCTGCTGCTGATGGTCTGCTTTCTGAGCCCATTAGGTTTGTAGATTTATTACACCCAGAGTATTTTAACCTGAAATATTCAATTTAAATCATATTTAGTTATGGATGTTTATTACTAATCTGAAATCCTGTCTGACTGGACAAAGTCCAGATTGGATAACTTATCAGTGAGTAAGCGAAGCGCATATGCTGAAATACTTCCTGTCTGGGTTTTAGTGTGTCTGCATTAGCTTTTGTGTGAGAGGTGCAGTAAAAGCTTTGTCTTTTGGGGATTCTTGAAAGAAATCAGAAAATAGCTAAATAAAGACAATGAAGTGGCAGAGGGCCTGAGCTGAAGTTCAGCACACAGGACATGTAGCTGGCGAGACTGATTTGAGGGTAGCTCCACACCTGCCGTAGTGCGAGAGAGGTGGTGCGGCACCATTGTGTCCTGGAGCCTTCCATGCTCCAGCAGCTGTTACTTTTCTAAGCAATATCATTTAGTTCACTGTTTTGCTTTTAGCTGGTATTTGGAACTACAGCCGCTACTACAGCGGCAAAACTTCGCTATGAGAATGCCTTAGTGTGCTGGTATGGCCAGTCAGTGCAACCAAGAGCATTAGAAAGGTCATCTTGTTCACAGGACCAGAACAAGCTTATGTTTAACTACAGCTGTGCCTCACAAGAGAATCCCTGTCAAGAACCCCAAGTGCGCTCTGTACCCTCAGTAATCTTTGTATTTCAAAGGAGTTCTGTACAAATGGACTGACTTTAAAATATCTGTTTCTGTAATCATTCTAATCCCACCTGTTGAACATAGCACATTCTGGACTTCAGTTGTCATGAGTAGGGAAACTGGGTTTCCTCTGTGCACCTGAGTGCACCCTTGTAAAAAGTTATGTGAATAGCAAAGAAGAATCCCACCATCTAGCAACAGGGGGAGGGAAGATGGTTTTTTACCATTTAACCTCACAACCATATTAAACTATTTCTTTCCAAATGTTTGCTTTTCCCTACCTTGCTCTTGGAGCTGGCAGTGGTGGGATTGTTGCTACAGACAAGTCAGAGATTTTTCTAGCTCAGCTCTGGGGTTTCAGTTGGGTGTTTATGAACATATCCATGGCCCCTGAAACATTGCTTCCTCGAGCAAACTCAGCCTTGTTGTCCAGTTAGGAAATGCGTGAAGACAAGATTTAAAAGTTTCTGTTTGTTTCTGTTCTGTAAGGATCTTGTATTGCACTTGTTACCAGTGATGCAGCCACATTAATTTGTCAGTGATTATGCTAGTAGGAGAGTGAACATCAGGAAACCTCTGTTCTCTCCTCAACTACTTATGGCTCATTTTATGAATTAGGGTAGAGGATTAAATTCTATATCTCAGAATTCCCATTCTTTATCTGCCTTTTGTTAAGTGCTCTGTGATGTGCAGATGAAAGATGCTGCGTTGAAGAATATGAGAGTGCAGACATGCATTCATGCAAATGACTGGGCACATCTGCCCAACTCTTGGAAAGCTGCCCATTCAGCTGTTGCCAAGTTTGAGCCTCCCTCTCACATACATGTAAGCACATTCTTTGTTTAGGGCTTGAGGACTATGTTAGTATTTCATCAGTTTGATATCACTTTTGATAAGGGGCTGAATCAAGTCATAATTTTAAATTACACGTTCTCATTAAAGTATGTATCTGCTGTGTAATATCAGAAAGATAACAGTGGCCAAATAGACTGATTACACTGCCTCATTGTTCTACAAATCCCTCTGTTACACATCCTGAGACAAGGAAGCATGAAATCAATTACAAAACACCACTTTAAAATGTCAGTGGCTTCCGTGGTAGGTGCTGGAGAAATCATATTTCTGCCATTCTGTAATTGAAAGGGACCAAATAAAGTCCTTCCTCTTGCCAGCACAAGAAAATTGCAGCTTCAGCATGTGCTGTGCATGGTATTTCTCACCATGCACATTGGAGCACATTGGAGACAGTCATTCTGTTTGAGGCCTGGTGTGAAAAACATTTAACTCCTGAATAATCTGTTACCCAGGACTTTGCAAATTTGCAATTCTACTTGGTATCTTTCCACTTGACATGAAAAAGAAGGGGAGAATGGAAAATATAAACATATATACCCTTAATACTTTGAGTTTTTGTTTCATGATTGCATAAAAACTAGTGTTTGGAGGTTTTTTTTGCTGTGTAGCTCTGTTCAGGGGTGGTTCATATTTTCTCTTACAGAATATTGATATTACGAACTTTAGCAGCAGCTGGAGTGATGGGCTGGCCTTCTGCGCTCTCCTGCACACATATTTGCCTGCACATATTCCTTACCAGGAGCTCAACAGCCAGGATAAAGTAAGTTTTGCTGTACCTGCTCCTACACCATTTGCAGAATTTGCTGTGCACATTACCTATTTTAATGGATATATGCTGGAGACACAGTGTTGCAAGATACTGTTCTTGATTGATACAAAATAAGTAGATGGGAGCACCAGTAAGAGACAAGTGTCAGCTGAGAGCTTACAAAGCAAACAGACTGGACAAAAAGAGGAAGGAAACCAACAGTGAGCTCCCAGAGAGAAATGCAGGGACTATTGAATAAAGAGTTAGTGACAAGTGGCCTGAACTGAGTGCTGCAGATAAACATGAAGACAACATCTCTTTTGAAAGGTTAAAGCATTTCTGGACTCCTGAGTTAGCAGCACACATTGAGTGCTGGATCAGCAGGCAGTCAAATCATTTATTGAACTACTTGGACAGAATGTATCTAAATGTCAAACCGTGTCAGCACATTCCAAATATATTAAGACCTTCACAAAGGGGAGGAACTTGGATTTACTGGATTTGCTTCAGAAATCTAGTATCTATTACAATAGGAATTATACCATATACAGAAATGCCTTATATTAGTTAACACCTCTTCAGAAACCTTTCACTCATGATAAAGACTTGTAATCAGTTTCACAGGAACCCATGTGTCACAAACAGAGGGCTGTAGCTTGGGCAAAAGTAGATGAGCTATTCAAAGACAAAGAACATGTTTGTGAGCATACCTTACTAAGGCAAAAAAGTATCTATGTGAAAGTATTGAATCTAGTGGCCTTCAGATACACCTGCTTATTTAAACTTAGTGATTCACCAGATGCAAGGTAGGGTTCAGGAATCATACTTTGATGATAATCCTTTTGAACTTTCGTTTTATTTTTACAGAAGAGAAATCTGCTGTTAGCATTTCAAGCTGCTGAAAGTGTAGGCATCAAACCCAGCCTGGTGAGTAACCTTCTTTTAGCAAGGGAAGATTTGCTGCATACACCATTCCAAAGCCTTTGCTGCCATGTGGCCAGTCAGCTTGCACTGAAAATGTTCACATGGTGCTAGGGAAGGCTGCACCACCATCTCTGACAGTTCATAGTGTTAGGGAAGCTTCCAGAAGGAATTTGTAGAATTGTAGAATTGATATAATTTGAAGGAACTTCTGGAGGTCATCTAGTATTGAAATGAGAGTATTGATTATATCCTCCTCCTGGAGGCTGATTCCAGATGATTCCTATTTTCATGGGCAGACTTGCCTGTTAGACAATTTTCTTTCCTTTTAGTGGTTTAAGAAATGAAGGATATTTTGTTTATTAAACTGTTTTCAAAAACCAACAGTATGATGAGGAAGAGATAAGTTTAGTATGAAGGAGAAAGTATTATGGGGTTCATGAGCTAAATACAGAAACAAAGACATGCAAAGAAGCAGCAATTTAAATGAAGTTATACAGAGAATTGGTCTTTGGTTGCAAATGGAAGAAATCTCAGAATGTAAAATGCATGTGGCTGTTTAACTATTTTGTTAATGAGTTTCAGAATCGCACTAGGTCAGTGGATCATTCCCATGGGCCTTTATACTGTATGTGGCTTTAAGGAGCTCTGGAATGGAAGCAGAAGTAATGTTCAATAGCCACAGCTACTCAGAGGGCCCAGTGATGTTCCTAGTGGTGGTTTTGACAATGTGTCTGTCCTATGCAGGAACTCAGTGAGATGATGTACACAGACCGGCCAGACTGGCAGAGTGTGATGCAGTACGTCGCCCAGATTTACAAGTACTTTGAGACCTGAGATACAGAGCAAGAGGTGGACAGAAGTGGGGTAGAGAACAAAGAATGCTACAGATGCACTTGATCACTTTAAAAATCCGCTTGCTCCTCTTCTACAACCAACCGAAGCTCTTAGTTCGAAAGAAAGCTCTTCCATAATTTTGATTACATCTGGGACTGCAACCAAATAAATATCCATTGTCCATCTATACCAGACAAATTTGTCTGCAATTTTACTCACACGTGGAAATTGCAAAGCATTTTTGAACACGCGTGGGATATTTCTGAAGAGGATCCCTTGTGCTAAACATTGTTTGCCTCAAACCAGACTCCACCAACAGAAGACCTGCTACAAAATGAAGTTCTAAATCAGTGTGGACTATGCTGGCACTCAAGGGAGGCTGGGAGATGAATATTAATACAAAAGCTCACAAAAATGCTCGTCTTGCCAAAACATGCTTAACTCATCCCAAATACATGTTGTTTTCTTGCCTCCATATATTTTCTAAAACATCATGACAGATGCACCAGAGTGTGTAGAACCTTAACCTGAGTTATTCTCATGCAGCTGACCCAAGAAGTATACTAGTTTGCTTGTCATAGCTTAACAAGCAGGATAATAGCAGGATCATTTGTAACTCAGAAACTACGCTCTGTTCCATCACCAGTTAGCGAAAAAACTCTAAAAGACCCTGTTAGGTGCTGGGACTTCATTTCAGATCAAACAGAAGCAATCTCCTTGAGGAAAAATAGCTTTATTACTACATCTTCATTACTTGATTACTACAGGAAGCCAGAGCTCAGTTTCCTAGCTGACTGTACAGGCACAGTTGTCATAGGAATATTGCAAATGCAATTTACTGGCCTTAGTTTGCAAGGTGCCAGTAGCAGATGATGACCCTCTAAGCAATACAGTGACATCTCAGTAGTTCATATTTTTGTGGATTGAGTGGAGCAACTTCTTTCTTCTGTGTTGATCCTGTGTAGTCAGCACAGACACAGAATTGCTGTGTAGAGACATGAATCTTGAGATAGCCTGTGCCCTGTCCAAGAAAATGTAGTCCATAGGGCACTGTTACATGCTAGGAAGTGATGTTACCCTGGAAAGGAACACAGTAATATATTAGTACCAATGGAAGTTGCAACTTTACTCCACAAGTTACAAAGAATGTTAACTGGAACCTCTCTGTGTGTCATGGAAGTCATTAAGGCGCCAGAGGATAGCTTTCCAACTCAATAATACTGCTAGTCAAATGTCTGAAAGATACTGTATAATTTCTGTTATACGATTTCTCTTATTTCACCTCATTAAGTTAAATTTTCTGTTTGTCTCCCAGGATAACAGGATCAAACAGGCTGCTTAATTTGTTCTAGGAGCAGATCTTGGAGAGCATGCTTTGTACAGGACCTCATAGAAGGCTGCCTAGCTGCTTTAGGTTGTGCTGGTAGAAGAAAGTTGTTGTTTAGTTAGCATGTTTAACCCTGTGACCAGACTTGATGCTTTGTGAATGTTAATCATAGTGAGCTAGGAATCATTTCTGTCTTACAAAAAATAATAGCGTGTGCTCACTGCTCTTAACTCCTGAAAAAAGGCTTGTGAAATAGAAACAAGCGATTTCACAGAAGAAAGTTGGTTTCAGGTTTTCCGGGGCTTTGCAGGTGGCTGATCTCAGCCTCTGGCTTCCCCACAGTGCTTTGTTGTTTGGTTTTTTAATACTATTTAATTAATAAACAACCTGTTTCAGACTTGGGTTTTCTCACAGCAAAATACAGGGTTAAGGGATAGATAACAGTGGCCGTATTGAACGGAAGTTGGAGGAAGGCAGTGTATGCCTAGTTCACAGGAGGAGAAAAGCATCACTTGCTCTTAGTTTTAGTCTGCCATCTATTCTAATCCACCAACCCCAGGAAAGTCTAATTCCAGTCGGAGCCTGTGTGACAGTGGCACGCACTTACGGTGCCCTTGCGCTCTGTGTGTCATCCTATACTGTGAGAAAGCAGTTGTAAATGCTGGCCAGAGTTATTTCTTTGCAAGAGTGCTTTCTAGATTGTATTAACTCTCCAGTATTTTTCAGCATACAGTCTGCCATCCCTAGAGAACATAGGATGAGTTGCTCTCAGTGTTCTCAGATACAAGTCTCATGTTATATGGTAAGACGGAAGAGGAAAATAGCTGCTAAGCAGAGTTCACTTAGGAAGGCAGTCACGCAGCAGAGCTCCAGTGCCTTGTGGATGCAGCAGGCTCTTTTCCCTTGAGGTGTCCATTGGAAGAGATCCCAATTCTCTCCAACGGGCTGCAGTTCAAAGCGGAGTGAAGTCAACACAGAAAATTCCATATTCCTCAGTGGGCTTTGGATCAGGCACTTGCAGGGATGAGAAAAATTGCTCTAATTCCCAGCATCTGGTAAACATTTCAAAGTCAGAGGGCTCCACTTGATCTAAAAAAGAAAGATACTCTTAACCCTCTGGTCACTGCAAGCATGTGTTCCATGTGACTGTCAGATGTACACAAAATACGTATGTTCTCTAGTCAGTATCACTTGCTTCAAGCGCTGTTGTGACATTTATTTTAATCCGTTTCTCCAAGACTTATTCTAACCTTACAAACCATTGTTTGATCTACTAGCTTTTATCAAATTATTTTTGCGAAGCAATGTTTCTGTCATTTCTCTGCAGCTTATTCTCCCATGCCCCCCAGTAGCATGGACCAAACACCACTACTACTCTGTTCTAGTGGTATATTCTTAAATTTTTTATTTATCTACGAGTTAGAACAAGGAGCTGTCTGTCAGTAGGGAAGAAGATATTCAGTTTTACCACATGCTCAATGTTTCCAGTCCTCAAACCTGCAAAACATCTAGTTTTCAAATGTTGGTACTTTGAGAGATGCTCTCTGATGGTATTTTTTGAGATTAAGAATATTGTTTATTTGTTCATTTAACTGTTACGATATTGCATATTTTTTCTTCCTTTTGAACCTTGCACAGTTACATTTCTAGACCTGGATTTTCAGAAATTATTGTTGTTTTTTCATGCTGCCTTAAAACTTGAATATGAATTTAAATTTATCCTACACAAGATGCTGCAGACCAGCCTGATTTTCAGAAAATCTACAGGGCCTTGTAAGACATCTCAAATTTGAACTGCAAAATTAAAGTTCTCGCTGTCTTTAAAGTTAGAGTTTGATAATTAAGTTAAACTAGAGGGTATAAGGATAGTCTTCATAGAAGTTCTGAGACTCCTCTGAAAACATCCTAAAATGGAACACGTGATGATGTGACATAGATGGTGTAACGCGTTGTACCAGTAATAGTTTGCCTAAATTGCCTAAATCCTTTTTGACTTTCCCTCGTAGGAGTAATGGATCTTTCCCTGATGCAGGCAGAGATCTCTTCACCATGTCGCCATACGCTCCCTAAATATACAGTCACTCTTAAACATACCTGCACATGCCTGTGTGTGTGTGTTTGGGTAGTCTGTCTGACTGCAAGAAACCAAATAGCTGTTTTTGGATGAGCACGTGAGGAGAACGGTTGGGATGGGGATTTCAGTGAAGTTCCATGGAGGGATATCGCATTGTGTCACTGTTGTACTGTAGCTGTTAGAGAGGAAAGGAGATTTAAATGTGAAAAGTACATAGTCTAGCTCCCGGAATTTCTGGTGAGTGATAGAATGTACGAATTGTTTCATGGCATTGAGAAGTGAGCCCAGAGTCAGCCGTCTAAGAAGGTTTTGTAGAAAGACTGATGAACTGTTTCTGAAAGTAAGAGATGAAACTGGATGGGGTGAAAGTTCAGCATATGAGGAGAGGGGCATATTGGGGACATGCGTGTGCCTTTGTGGACAGCAAAGGACATCAGCTTGAGAGTCCTTACTGACTGTCATCTTGAGTGACATTTCTCCTAAGAGCACAGCTCAGCGTGGATCTCAGAAGATGAGGAGGTAAGAGAGCATAGAGCTTGCTGCCTTTGCCAGGTTCCCCTTCCTGTGCCTGTGACAGTCACGAAAATGCAAAGGGGACAAAGATTTCCCAGTTCTTTCTGTGCTGCAGCAAGGCAGCCGCGCTAAGCAGAATGATTTCTGACTTTCGCACGTTCTCCAGTTTCCTCTGTGACACACATTCTCTCTGAGTTTTGGCAGGTTTTCCTTTTGTAATTTGAGGTTGGGTTTTACAGGTTTTCTCTATAATATTTCTTGTGTTGTGTGTGCAGCCAGTTATGTGCAAGTTGTCTGTCCAAAGCAAGTAAGTGCACACTGGCAGAATGATTGCTTCTTCCAGACCTGGAACTCTTAAAAATCTATGTTTTGGCTTCATTGAATTTCCTTTCCCGCTTGCTTGGCGATGAAAACGTGAGCACTGGCTCGTCTGGTTGTAGTTTGTTTGTACCTCCCTCATCTTTCTGTGCTTGTGGTACCAGGTCTTCCAGCAGGAAGTATCTGATGGGGCCAGCTGCTTGCCGAGCTGGGCCGTGTGTATCTGATAAAAGGCAGAGTCTGTATGGGATGAGATTATGCATTTTCCTGTCAGAAGAGGGCTTTTGCCTAAAAAGACTCAGGGCACTGAGCATTAAGACATTTTTAAACCCAGCAATAACTTCTACTATGCTAGACAATATTGGTTTTTACCAACTCCAGTGCCATTTAGACTCGCTCACCAGTATGGTGTAGAATCAAACTTATAACTGAACTGCAATTAACATTTTTCTCAACTGATGGTCTCTACATTTTTGACTTATACGTGTGCCAAGTTCCACTGGGCAGTGCTGGACACAATGTTTTTATTGATTATTGGTCCAGGCTCAAGTTTGTCATATGGGATAGTCACTTCTGACAGTCAAGTACTTCTAGCTTTATTGGGTACAGATGTTACTTCGTAATCTAATTTATACAAAGAGCACATTAGAATGTATATAGTAGGCATTGCCAGATTTGGACATGCTAATATTTAAAGATTAACATTATTAAAATGTATGATGCAAAGATCTGTGTAATATTTCTAATAAATCTTTTTCTGTTTCTGATGTTTGTTGTAATACTTCAAATATCTACATGCAAAACAGATTCTTCTGCAGTCTGCTGGGAAGCAGGACTTCCAGGAGAGTTTTTAAAAGATACTCATGGTTTGCTGGTTCTGCTACACTGGTAGCAAAGAAAATTTGGTCAGAATTTTTTTTTCATAAGCAGGATAAAGGAGTGAAAGAGATGTCTTAGTTTCTGAAACCAGTGTATTGAAGAGACAGTAGGAAATCATCCTAGTGCAAAGGCAAGGAAAGAACAGACCAATGTGT